CAAGAAGTTATTCAAGGTTCTAAATTCAAAAATCCAAGATCGATTCATGGCAGATTTTGTTTCTCAATAAATTATTCAAAGTATTGCAAAGTAAATTTAAGGGTGTGAATTGAAAAGAGGGTCATACACTACAAAATTCAACAAAGGCCAAAGCCCATTATAAAGGGACTTCATGTTAGTGCAAAATCTCATACAAAGAAAAGAAAGCCCATATTCGCACAAAGATACCAAGATTGACGTGTATAAAAATCCAAAAAAAATCACTACAAAGCCCAATATCAAAAGTCCATGAATTAATCCATTTCAAAATCATTACAAAAATTCAAGACTTACAAATCAAGGTCTATGTTATCCATCACCATCTTGCTTTCATTAGGCCCATTATTATTTTTTTATTAAAAGAAAAATTGATCAAGATCAAAAGTAATAACACTTCAATGAATTATCCAAGTTGTAACTCATGTCATGATATATGTATCCCCCTCCAAAAGATACAAGCCACATGACTGTAAGAATCTCGTAGAAGGTACCCCACCATAAACTTCCCTGCAACAAAACAGGGCCAATATACACCCAATGAACAGAATTGAAACGAGCTGCCAATTCTCCAGCAAACTCATCCAGGATTCACGCATTCGCAACATGACAAACTTCCAAAAGGTTGCAACGAACTCCACGGGCCAGCCCCACAAATCAAGCTGTGTTTTTTAAGTAGCCTACAACACCATGCACCATGCCGAGCCACTTCAGATAAGCCTGTGTAAAAAACTACAGTACGACAAAACTGTCACAAATACATTTCGCACAAAACCAGTACACACCCAAATGCAAAAACGACAAAAGAAAACAAACTTTAGAAAAACATCATCAAGATTGCAAAACGATAACGAGTAATTCGATAACAAATTTCACTCACCTCTCACTTTATAAATACAAGCCTTTTTATCCCTCAGTCGCGGAAGCTTTAACGCCAACGATATGCTGCCAAATTACCTCCCCAAACTAACCTCCAAATCTTCAAATACAAATCAACCATAACCCTTCTTATGCTTCAACCCAGATCTTCCTTAGCCAATTCCAACCTTCTTCAACCTTAATCGACCATACAAAATGCATCTCCTTTAAACAAATTAGAACGTCCATTAATCTTCCCTTCAACCTTAACCATCGTACAACCTTCAATCCACTCAAACACCCTTACACACACTAAATTAGAGAAGAGCATATGAGATGAGGTGAAGAGCAAGATCAGAAAAAAAATGCAAAACCAAAACAAACAACACAAGTCATACAAACCTGAAATTGATGAAACTAAAGGACGAGATTCACGTTTGCAAGAAGAAGATGTATGTCGTGGTTTTGTTGTTGTGACATTGTTTTTCCATTTCCTTTTTTCATTTGATGCAAACCCATTGATTTTTTCCTACCGTCTTTCATTTTTTCCTTTTTAAAATTCCATCTGATTGTTATTTTTCAACCCAAGCCATGTTATGAATAAATCATGCGCTTCAGAGCCCATCGTGCTTTTTGCTTCACCACTCCCTTTTTTTTAACCGAGCTTCTTTGATGTGGGTGATGGACTTAAAGCCCGTATGATCCCACGTATTAACACCTTTTTTGTTAATTCTTAGTACACTCCATTTTTTTATATTTATTCTTTCCTTGTTTTTATTTCAAGAAAAAGATAATGATATAAAAAAATTTATTACATTTTTGTTAATGACTTGATTTACATTTCTTTTTTATTTCTCTTCAATTTTTATTTTCGGCTTTAGTTTTATTATCGGTCGATGAATATCTAAGTAGTCGTGGATTTATCAATTCATCAATGAAAATCCATGATTAAGATAATACCATTTTCTTTTCTATCTCATTTTGATTTCCATTTCTCTTTTCATTTCGATTCCATTTTCTTTTCGATCTTGATCAATGAAGGTCTTTAATATTATGAATGTTGGTTGGTTAAGGTTGAGCCATTTTCAAACACCCGCCGTAAGTCGAGTACTCATAGACATTCGCCATCAACCTATCCCACACATTTTCATATTTCATAGTGGTTTCGTTATTAGGAGCATCCTCAGGGACTAGTTTCGTTTCTCACAACGTAACCCTTGATTCATCGTCAAGCCAGTTCCATTTTCAACCAAATCCTTGACTCGTCGTCGAACCATTTTCAAACCAACTTCCATTCCACCATGATTTTTCACGTGAATATAAGTCAAACCCTTGATCCAACGTCAAGTGGATTTTCTCAATCAAACTATCAATACAATTAATAACTATTAAATTCTCCTTAAGGTGAAAAGAGGGGGATTGAGCCTTTGATCTCCCTTCAGTTGTTTGGGTGCAGGTTATCTTACTCATGTGTAAGCAATTGACGCCTCTAAAACATTTCCATATCGACAACATTCAACCATCTTCCAACCATTCATTACTCAAACACCATTCAAACACAACTTATTTTCAAGATGAAAAAGAGAGAGAGTCAAGTCTTTGACTCATTCTTCTGATTACTTGGGCCCGAGGAGCCTTTCTTAAGCTTCGATTAATTGTCATCTGAACCAAACAAACTTCAACCCCTCTCTTTTCGTGGTCGTCTCCAAGAACTACGGACGCTCTGATTCTTCATTCTCATTTGAATGTAAGATCGTAGGCACAAGATTGAGATGATCTTGGCGAGCTACCTTCTATCCATCTTCTATTTCCCCCCTATTCTTTCATGTAGTCAAACTACAAAACCTCTGATTTCTCATTCTCAACCAAATGAGCATACGTCGGCACAAAGGTCCCAATCCTTGTCGAGCACCTTATCCTTTAACCACCCATTTCTCCTTAGCATCTTATCCCTTTTATTGTGCCTTTTCACATTTAGTATTGAGAATAAAACAACTAAGCTTAGCTAACATTCATCACAATTTGAATTAAGAGGTTCCTGTTGAGTACACCGAACGTGAGGGGTGCTAATACCTTCCCCTTGCGTAACCGACTCCCGAACCCGGAACATTAGTTGTGACGACTGTGTTCTTGTCCTTTTGTTTTAAAAGATTTTCTCGATATTTTCCTTCCCCGTCTCTTTGGGATAAATAAAGGGGTGGCGACTCTATCGAACCTCATTCTGCGCCTTTAGCGCGAGGGTCGTATGTTCGAATGAATTTTCGAGGTGTGAGATGTGTTTGCTTGGGCAGCCAAATGCTTAAGGCATTACATGTTAAACCATACAACCATGTTAATATCGAAGATGGATCCAATTAAATATGTGTTTAAGAAACAAGCGCTTTCCGAAAGAATTGCTAGATGGCAGATGGTGCTGATAGAGTATGACATTCAATATGTTTCCCAATAGGCCATTAAAGCGATTGTTTTGTCAGAGTATCTTGCCGAATAGCAAATTGAGGACTATCAAAAAATGAGGTTTGAGTTTCCTGATGAAGATATAATGTTTTTGAAGATGAAGCATTGCAATGAGCCTTTGCCTGACGAGGGCCCCGAGATTGGGTCTCAGTGGAAACAAATTGTGTATTTAGCAGAAGCAGGATCAGATTTTTAGTAAAGAAAAGAGGAGTATAGAAGATTGTGAGACAATATTGCAAGAAAGCTCAAACTTGTTATTCCAAGGTGTGCTTACAAATGAAACTTAAATCCCTTTATATAAGGAAGAAAAGGCTTACTATTTAAGCCGGTAACTAAAACTTACAATAGCCGGTAACTTGTATAATTATTGACGGGTACTCTTTGGGCCCCATCGTCACAACAATTAACAAGAAACTACAAACTTTAAAAGATAAAAAATGCATGCCTAGAAATTATTAAAGACAAGATAAGATTCTTATTCCCTTGTCTTTTACAAAAGATAGTAAATGCATGCAATTATGCCTAGAAATTATTAAAGACAAGATAAGATTCCTTTGTCTTTGACTATTGGAAATATTCTTCTTCTATTATTTCTTGTCCTCTAGCCTTTGTCTATTGATTCTTATTTCATTGTTTCTAGACAAGATAACAATTTAATTCTTTGCTTTTTTCATATCTTTCATGGATGAAATCATTGCATCCCAGAAATCTTCTGCAGTAGGTTCATCTGCTTGACCTACTCCTGCTAAACCATCAAAATTATGGGAATCCATTGATCCCATGGAAGAGCTTGTCTTCATAGATGAATCTTCATCTTTTGATGCTTTTGTTGGAAAAGTAGAGAAAAATTGGTTCTTCATATGATCCAAAATCCTAACCATGATTTCATCTTCTGTTTCATTGGGATATTTCCTCTGGAAGAAGTTCTTCAAGTTTTCCATAGACATTTGTTTGGAACTTTGCTCCTTGACCTTATTATTCTGGTCTTCAGCTATAGCTTCTTCAATTAATTTTATTTTATTCTGGACATCCTCAGAACTCATCTTGTTCCACCATTTATAGAAGAAATTTCTTTCTAAAATGGGAATGTTGAATTTATTTTTTGATATGGTGATTGACCACCTCCATATCCATGGAATCTGAAATTTAGTAAAGAACAAAAATGGACATTGTCCAGTGATCAAATTATCAGATAAAATTTTTACAATAAGTGGACTATTATCACACCATGGATTGTATAAGTTAAGAATTTCTTTAGGAAGAATCTCCAAAGATGGACCAAATTTAGCCCACCATTCATAAAACCAATTTGGTATAGGTTTATTAACCAACTCTTGATTGATAGAGAAAAACCAAGAATGCTTGTTCTTGGGATTTTGGTAATAAAAAGCTTGAGTAAAAGCTTGAACATAGTCCCAATAATTAAAGTAAATATATTTTCCTTCTGCAATTCTTATTGCCTTTTCCACGTATGGGTTGAGACCCCATTCTCTTGGTAACAAAATTTTGTTAATGTGACATTTACTGAAGTATATAAAACTTTCAGGATTATTGTTTTGGTAATGGTGAGTAATTGTTACCGATTCGGTAACAGTCAGGAGAATTTCTAGGTTGGGCCTAGATTTTCCATGAAGACCTGGATATCCTCTTTATTCGAGGTATCTAGTTTTGATAGACCACCCATCATTTGGGTTTATCTTCATATCTTCATCATCAATATACATGATTTTCTCAGTTACTGGATTTTCAAAATAATCCATTTTTTCTTGAGGTGGGTTATTAACCGCAACTTCCTTGTAGGAAGTAGTTTTATTAGAGGAAGAGGAAGCAATATCTTCCTTTTTTGCTGAAGATGCAGGTAATTGCTGCATTTTTCTACCTTTGTAGACAGTCCAATCCCCTATTAGAGGAATGTTTGATTCTGGCTCGGGTAACATATTGTTACTCCCTCTCCCACCACGGCCATAACCGCGGCCTCTACCCCTATACGGGGTCATCATTCTTTTCCCTGCAAAAATTCTCGAGTTAAATAATCAGCAAGTGAATTATTTTCACCTTTAATGTGTTGGATATCAAATTCAAACATAGATAATTGCGATTGCCAAGTAGCAAAAATTTGCTTAGCAACAAGATTTTTAACATCTTTTTCAATAATTGATTTAGCTGAGCTACAATCAATTTTTAATAAAAAAAATTTATTAAGAAGATCATCTTGAAATTTTCAAATGCATTTTATAATAGAAAGCATCTCTTTCTTGATAGTTGAATATTTTGCTTGTGTTGGATTCCATTTTCCAGAAGTAAATCTAACCAAAACTTCTTTTGAGGTTTCAGGTATTATTTGTTTAAGGATTCCTCCATAGCCTAAGTCTGAAGCATCAGTTTCAACAATTTTGAAATACTTAGGATTAGCAAGAGATAAACAAGGCAAACATTTCACCTTATTTTTAATTCTTTGGACTGCCTGAGAATGTTTTTCAGTCCAAGGGCCAGGATTCTTTTTAAGCCTAGCATGTAATATTGTCGTATCTTTAGCAAGATTTTCATAATAATCTGCTATGTAATTGAGGCTACCTAGAAACCTTTGTAATTGTTTCTTATCTGTAATAATATCAGGGAATTTAGAAGCAAATTCAATACTTCTTTGTATAGGAATTATAGTTCCTTGGTCAATTTCATGTCCAAATCTGAGGTATATTTCTTCTATATTATGAAAATTAATGGCTAAATTTATGTTGTGAGAGGTTGATTATGCTTAGATAAAACTAAGTAGGTAACTTTTTCTCATAACATGTTATTAACAAGCAAACAACCTTTTCAAAGTGTTTTTAAACCTAAAAAGTGTTTTTAGTGTTTTCTTTCATATTCATCTTTTTTATCCCAGGGAAGGGAGTTGTTGATGATTTCAAAAAAGAAAATTTTTGCTAAAAACATTTTGACATCTTTGATTTGGGAGAAATCCTTCTATCCCTTCGGGTTGATAGTGAAACAATTTGTTGTTTGCTTAGATGACTTTTAATTGGTTGTTGTTTCTGTTAACATTATGTTATGAGTCCAAGTTATCTATTTAGATTTAACTTTGCGTATCAACCGATCACAACATTCTTAGCCTGTTTCCTTTATGGATTCTGATGATGATAATCATCAAAATAATTTAATAAAAAATGAAGAATTAATTGAATATCCAAAAAATATGGATAAACTCAACAGATGGGTTATACCCTCAGTTCCTTCTAATCAAATTTATAAATTTGGTAAGATAGATGTTTTTTCTCGTTTTACTGTTAAAACTTTAGAGCAAACGATTCAAATTTCTAAAGAAACTCAGACAATAAAACTGTTAACTAAAAAAGATTTGAAACCTTTTAAAAATTATAATTTTATCCATATTGGACTGGTTCAAATTGCTTTAAAACCTTTAACATTATTGGGTTTAAATTCTAGCATAATGACTTATGTTAGAGATGGTAGATGTAAAGATTTCAAACAATCTTTAGCTGCTATGGTTGAGACAAGTCTGTGTCATGGACCATTTTACTTTGATGTCTCACCTAATTTAAATCTATCTTTATCTGATAAAAATTTATTAGATGATATGCAATTAACAGTTCATACTAATGGTTACAATTTTAAACCGGGAAGTGAAATTATAGCAATATGCTATAGAATCTACTATAAGGTTCTTACTACGCTTAATCCTAAAGCAAAGCATTTATCATTTCCTGGAACCACTACTTTGGTTCAAACAAATTTATTAACATCCAATGTTGCAACCAATAGGTTAATAATGTGGGATGAAGTAAACTTCCCAGAGACATGGTCTCTCCCCCAGGAAATAGATCCTGAACCTATCCTTAATAGGGATATAGACCAAATTATTCAGACAACTGAAGGAGATTTAGAAATAAATTTCACTTCAAAAAGAATAACTAGAATACCCAGGTCCCTATCTGCTACGCACTCAGTTAGTGAATTTTACACAGCTCCTAGCCAATTACCTAGACCTTCTACTTCTCAAATAAGAGAAGAAATAGAGGTCGTTGAGAATATAAGACTAAGCGAAAATAGAGTTCCCCATGGAATTTATCAAAAACCTCATACTCCAAGAGTAGAATCACCTACTCAGTCAGATATGGATTTCCAATTATAATGATAGATTACTCCCCTGGTAGTAAGATGAGACAACTCATCAATGATGAGTTTCAACATGAGAGATACTCTCAATTTAGAAATTGGTTTTTTAAAAAAATTTCAAAACCTGAATTAGCCCAATTTAAAGATGAGTATTACACTCAAATGAACCTTGAGCAGGATTTCGTTCCTTTTGTTAAATGGTTTGTTAATTACTTCATAAATAAAAAGCAAGAAGAAATTCTTGTGTTACAAAGACCTTGAGAAAACATTAGAGGAGAAATAATGGAATCTTCTTTTCCCCCTGAACAAACAATAAGTTTGAGTCAAAATAATGAAGCTACCCCTTACCTTAGCCTTTAGTTACAAAGAGTTGAACAAAATCAAGTTACTCTTAAGGAATTAAATTCAGTTATCAGGTCTCAAAATTATACCAATGCTTACCTTGTTTGCTTAGGAGAACAATTTATCTCCATGGAAAAAGATCTCTTATCCATAAAAGATCTTTTAGAAAAACAAATAGAGCGTCAAGATATCATTATTGACCACATAAATAAACCTAAAGACCAAATATCCACATCCACTATTTCGGATGTTCCTATAGTGCAACCTCCTGTTTCCATAGAAGGATTTAAAATGGAAACTAACGGAGAAGAATTTGTTCGTATTTTAGAACAAAAACTAAAAGGACTTAATATCACTGTCATGTCCCATGAAGATTATTCTGAGGATAATAATGACAACCATATTGACCAGCTTGCTGATATGTTTGCTAATTTAGACATTAGTAACCTTGATATTAATACTAATAGTATTAATAATACTAATAGTATAAATCCTGTTTATTCCCCAAGGCCTATAGAAAAGTATTATTACAAGCGTCCCTCACCGCAAGATTTGCTTTTTGAGGAATCAGAACCTTTCCAGAATTCTTATTCAGGAAAAGCCATTTATGAATGAAATGTTGATGGTCTTAATGACAAACAAATTATAGATACTATCCATAGGATGATCATGTACTCTACTGTTTGCAAGCAACATGGAAATTCTGATGCTTCAATAGCATCCTTTATAACAATAGGATTTGTTGGCCAACTTATAGGCTGGTGGGATCATTATCTCACTGAATCTAAAAAATTAGAGATTCTTAATCATAAAAAAATCGTTAAGAGCGAACCAAGAACTAGTACGAGCACTATTGTGGCTACAACCACCACAGGAGAAGAAGATGCAGTGTATACACCGTGTCTCTCCATCTTACAACATTTTGTAGGAACCAATGTCCCCATTGGAGAAAAAATCCAGACACTTCTCCAAAACCTTAGGTGTCCTTCTCTCACCCACTTTAGATGGTATAAGGATACTTTTCTTTCAATAGTTTATCAATTAAACAATCCCAATTCTTTGCACTGGAAAGCAAAATTTATTGATGGATTACCTCATTTCTTTTTTGAGAAAGTTAGACAATCCTTAAGACAGAAAAATGATGGGATAAATATAAATTATTCAGATCTTACTTATGGTCATATAATTAGCACTTGTGTTAATGAAGGATTAACTTTATGTAATGACATAAAGCTTAGAAATCAACTCAAAAAGCAAAAGCTCTCTGAAAAACACCAAATTGGTGAATTTTGTGAGCAATTTGCTTTTGATCTTGGAAAACCTCCAGATAATAAAAAGAAAAAAGGAAAAATTTTCCGCAATAAACCTTATAGGGATAAGCCAAAAAATTCTTATAAAAATTCTTATAAGAATAAGAAAAGGGGTCACTACAATAGAGGTAGACCTAAAGAAAAATCTTTTGACCCTAAAGGTAAAAGAAAAGCCAAAAGGCTTGACATAACATGTCATAAATGTGGCAAACCTGGCCATTATGCCGACCAATGTTGGACTGAAAAAGCTCTTAATGAGATAGAAAATGAACAATTACGTTCTCAATTAGAGAAAGTTTTACTTCTCAATTCTGATTCTGAAGATTACTCTTCAGAAGAAGATATTAATATGATTTATGAATCTTCTTCTGACTGCTCTTCTGAATCTTCTAACAATAATAATTGTCAATGCAATCAATTAGATTACTGGAAATCAATAGTTGATATGAATGGGTTAAACGTTTTAACCTCAGAACATGATGAAGCTATAAAGCCTATAGAGTCCATTTCTGATACAAATCTTAAAAGAAAAATGCTTGAGGTTCTAATCCAAGAAAACTCTAGAAAAGAATCCCCTGTTATTACAGAAGTACCTTACCAATTAAGTGAGATTTTGTCTAGATTTAGACAGTCTAACATTCGTGAAACTCCTGTTTCTATTATGAATTTAAATAGAGAAATAAATCTCTTAAAAAATTAGATAGCTCAAATTAAAAAGGAAAACTATGGTTTATCTCAAAGGCTCACTTTCTTAGAGTCCAATAATTCAAAAATTGAAAAAATAACTTCCACTAGTAATCCTTCACCTAGTGATAGATTCCTTTCTCTCATTGATAGAGTAACTTCTCAAAAATGGTTTGTTAGAATAACGTTAGTTATTAATAGAAATTTCATATTAGAAAATGAAGTTGCCCTTATTGATAGTGGAGCTGATTTAAACTGCCTTCAAGAGGGAATTATTCCTACTAAATATTTTGATAAAACTATTCAATCTCTTACACAAGCTGGAGGAGATAAACTCACGGTTAATTATAAATTGTCCAATGCTTATGTTTGAAACAAAGATATTTGTTTACCCACTCACTTTATTCGTGTAAAAAATCTAACTCATAGAATTATATTAGGAACTCCCTTTCTGCATAAAATTATGCCTTTGATTAATGTTGATCAAAAGGGAATTACCTCCATTATTAATAATAAAATAATTACTTTTGAATTTATTATTGATCCTCATACTAGGATGATTAATGAAGTTAAAGATATTCTTCTTAAAAAAGAAAAACAAATTTGTTTTCTTAAAGAAGAAGTGGATCTATTAAACATCACTTCTCAACTTAAAAAACCTGAAATTCAAAATCAAATTAAATTAATTGATCAACAGTTTAGAGATGAAATATGCAATGATTTACCCAATGCCTTTTGGGATAGAAAGAAACATGTTATTTCTTTACCTTATCTTGATGACTTTAATGAAAGTCAGATTCCCACTAAAGCTAGGCCTGCTCAAATGAATCATGAGTATTTGGATTTATGCAAAAGAGAAATAGAATCTCTTTTGGAGAAAAAATTAATAAGAAAGTCCAAATCTCCTTGGAGCTGCACAGCCTTTTTATGTCAATAATGCTGCAGAAAAGGAACGTGGAGTTCCTAGACTCGTTATTAATTATAAACCACTTAATAAAGTGTTAAAATGGATTAGATATCCTATTCCTAATAAAAAAGATCTTTTAGATAGATTAAACAATGCTTTAATCTTCTCTAAATTTGATATGAAATCTGGTTATTGGCAAATTCAGATTAATGAATCTGATAAATATAAAACAACTTTTACCGTACCTTTTGGACATTATGAATGGAATGTCCTTCCTTTTGGCCTTAAAAATGCCCCTTCTGAATTTCAAAATATTATGAATGATATTTTTAATCCATATACGGAATTTATAATTGTTTATATTGGTGATGTTTTAGTTTTTTCAAAAACTATAGATCAACATATGAAACATTTGAAAATATTCAAAGGATTAATTAAGCATAATGGATTAGTAATATCTGGTCCTAAGATGAAACTTTTTCAAACAAAGGTTAGATTTTTAGGACATGAAATTGACCAAGGAACTATAATTCCTATACAAAGAAGTATTGAATTTGCTTCTAAGTTCCCTGATATTATTACAGATAAGAAACAATTACAAAGGTTTCTGGGTAGCCTCAATTACATAGCAGATTATTATGAAAATCTTGCTAAAGATACGACAATATTACATGCTAGGCTTAAAAAGAATCCAGGCCCTTGGACTGAAAAACATTCTCAGGCAGTCCAAAGAATTAAAAATAAGGTGAAATGTTTGCCTTGTTTATCTCTTGCTAATCCTAAGTATTTCAAAATTGTTGAAACTGATGCTTCAGACTTAGGCTATGGAGGAATCCTTAAACAAATAATACCTGAAACCTCAAAAGAAGTTTTGGTTAGATTTACTTCTGGAAAATGGAATCCAACACAAGCAAAATATTCAACTATCAAGAAAGAGATGCTTTCTATTATAAAATGCATTTCAAAATTTCAAGATGATCTTCTTAATAAAAAAAATTTATTAAAAATTGATTGTAGCTCAGCTAAATCAATTATTGAAAAAGATGTTAAAAATCTTATTGCTAAGCAAATTTTTGCTAGTTGGCAATCGCAATTATCTATGTTTGAATTTGATATCCAACACATTAAAGGTGAAAATAATTCACTTGCTGATTATTTAAGTTGAGAATTTTTGCAGGGAAAGAATGATGACCCCGTATAGGGGTAGAGGCCGCGGTTATGGCCGTGGTGGGAGAGGGAGTAACAATATGTTACCCCAGCCAGAATCAAACATTCCTCTAATAAGGGATTGGACTACTGTCTACAAAGGTAAAAAAAATGCAGCAATTACCTGCATCTTTAGCAAAAAAGGAAGATATTGCTTCCTCTTCCTCTAATAAAACTACTTCCTACAAGGAAGTTGCGGTTAATAACCCACCTCAAGAACAAATGGATTATTTTGAAAATCCAGTAACCGAGAAAATCAATATTGATGATGAAGATATGAAGATAAACTCAAATGATGGGTGGTCTATCAAAACTAGATACCTCGAATCAAGAGGATATCCAGGTCTTCATGGAAAATCTAGGCCCAACCTAGAAATTCTCCTGACTGTTACCAAATCGATAACAATTACTCACCATTACCAAAACAATAATCCTGAAAGTTTTATAAACTTCAGTAAATGTCACATTAACAAAATTTTGTTACCAAGAGAATGGGGTCTCAACCCAAATGCGGAAAAGGCAATAAGAATTGCAGAAGGAAAGTATATTTACTTAAATTATGGGGACTATGTCCAAGCTTTTACTCAAGCTTTTTATTACCAAAATCCCAAGAACAAGCATTCTTGGTTTTTCTTTATCAATCAAGAGTTGGTTAATAAACCTATACCAAATTGGTTTTATGAATAGTGGGCTAAATTTGGTCCATCTTTGGAGATTCTTCCTAAAGAAATTCTTAACTTATACAATGCATGGTGTGATAATAGTCCACTTATTGTAAAAAATTTATCTGATAATTTGATCACTGGACAATGTCCATTTTTGTTCTTTACTAAATTTCAGATTCCATGGATATGGAGGTGGTCAATCACCATATCAAAAAAAAAATTCAACATTCCCATTTTAGAAAGAAATTTCTTCTATAAATGGTGGAACAAGATGAGTTCTGAGGATGTCCAGAATAAAATAAAATTAATTGAAGAAGCTATAGCTGAAGACCAGAATAATAAGGTCAAGGAGCAAAGTTCCAAACAAATGTCTATGGAAAACTTGAAGAACTTCTTCCAGAGGAAATATCCCAATGAAACAGAAGATGAAATCATGGTTAGGATTTTGGATCATATGAAGAACCAATTCTTCTCTACTTTTCCAACAAAAGCATCAAAAGATGAAGATTCATCTATGAAGACAAGCTCTTCCATGGGATCAATGGATTCCCATAATTTTGATGGTTTAGCAGGAGTAGGTCAAGCAGATGAACCTACTGCAGAAGATTTCTGGGATGCAATGATTTCATCCAGGAAAGATATGAAAAAAGAAAAGAATTAAATTGTTATCTTGTCTAGAAACAATGAAATAAGAATCAATAGACAAAGGCTAGAGGACAAGAAATAATAGAAGAAGAATCTTTCCAATAGTCAAAGACAAAGGAATCTTATCTTGTCTTTAATAATTTCTAGGCATAATTGCATGCATTTACTATCTTTTGTAAAAGACAAGGGAATAAGAATTTTATCTTGTCTTTAATAATTTCTAGGCATGTATTTTTTATCTTTTAAAGTTTGTCGTTTCTTGTTAATTCTTGTGACGATGGGGCCCAAAGAGTACCCGACAATAATTATACAAGTTACCGACTATTGTAAGTTTTAGTTATCGGCTTAAATAGTAAGCCTTTTCTTTCCTATATAAAGGGATTTAAGTTTCATTTGTAGCACACCTTGGAACACCTTTGAATAACAAGTTTGAACTTTCTTGCAACCTCTCACAATCTTCTATACTCCTCTTTTCTTTACTAAAATTCTGATCCTGCTTCCGCTAAATACACACTTTGGTATCAGAGCAAAGGCTATAGTAGGTAAAGTAAGGAAGACTTATTTAACAAGAAGTTGTATTTTACTTGATTATCCTAACATCCAAAGTCAAGTAAGGAAGGCTTATTTAAAATTTGATCGTCATCAACCTCTTCACAATTTTATTTACCCTTAGTTTGTTAAATGTAAACAAAAACGTCGATTTTACAAAAATTGGTTTGATTTGTATGATTGAGATTGATTATATTGAATCTAAGGACCTAGCATTTTGTTTGCCATGTTTTTTATTTAAAAATGTCTCTAAATATGTGGATAACTTTTTCGGAGACAGTTTTGTTGTTTGGATAAATTCTCAAAAATTGAATAATCACACTATTTCTTTCAATAGTCATGTTAATTGTTTGCATATGAGTTACACTCTAATGAACTCAAACCAAAATAATGTTATTTTATATTATTTTCAAGAAATGGATGGTAGATAATTATCATTGTAAATGTATTGTATTAGATAATATTATTTCTTATTTTCAATATAATTTAACTCATAATATCTTTTCGTTGGACTGAGAGAACATATTACAGGACTTACTAGTCTCAATCCAATTACGAATATATTATATCCCATGGTGCGGACACGAGTGACACACTTAGTTTGTTTCGCGTGCGGTACGTAAACACGTGGCAATATTTTATATTAAAAAAGACGTTGAAAAAAATGCTTTAATATAGTTCTTTGATATTTCTCTCTTTTGTTAAATTAAACACATGCTCTAATTGTAATTGTAAGACAGCACTACAGCACACCACATCCACATCCTCAGTGTCTGTCCTTTTCTCTTCCCCTTAGCCGTTTCCACGCCCACATTTCCTCTTTTTTCCATTCTTGCTGCGCCTAACTTCAACATTTATTTCTTTCTCTCTCTCTCTCTAAAGATGAAAAGGAATTGCAACTTATAACTCTGTCTTTTTCCTCTGTTTCGATAGCAATCACAATCACAACAATCACTTGTAAGCAATTTGTTTTCTTATTCTTCCTTTTTATTTTATTTAATGTATTGTTTTATTTTTTACATTTAGGTGTTGAATTAATTCTTTATTATATTGTATCTAAATTAAAGGGTTGAAGAAGAAAAAGATAGTCATCAGAGTTCAATGCAAAATCCGCAACAACCGCTGACTATTTTCTACTATGGCAAGATGTGTGTTAATCATGTCACTAAGTTTCAGGGTGTGATCATGCCACGTAGAGCAGATATAACTCAACTCAGGCGCATTGATGTGTTTAGTTTAACTTGAACATTTATTTTATTTCGAATTTTTACTTTGATGAGATACACTAAAATCTTTCTCAAAATAAAGCTCTCCTCAAGGTTCCTCTATGGCATATCATGTGTCGGAGTCAAATGATGTAAGATGCATGTGCTCAACTCTATCTTCTTGTATAAAAGAGTGACGTAAGTTACGCATGTTGAACTCCAAACTCTTATATGGACGAGTTGCGTGAATCTTAGAGGTAAAATTTAATGGGCTTGAACATCAAAGAGAAGACCATTAGGTCAAGCCGGGCCGGCTCAATGAAACTGGAGGCCCGGTTTTAATTTTAAAATGAACCAAGATTTAAAATATAATATATAATTATAATTATTAAAAATGACACATCAAAATATAATTATATATTAGTAAATAAAAAATTAATTATAAGTATCTTGACTTTGATCAATCTTATTTTTTAATGTATTGAATTTATAGCATTTTTTAATTTATTTAATATTTATCAATATTAATGTAAAAAAGTTAGACTTTCAAAATTTTAGAGCCTTCCAAATTTTGGGGTCCTGTGCTATAGAGTCCGTTGCTCCTGCACAGAGTCGGGCCTGAGGTCAAGACAAGATGGATTATAAAAGTAAACACTTGGGACAAAAATTAGAGGATTGAGAGGAAAAATGTATTTTATCATTACTAATTTTCGTAGAGGAATTTTTGAATTTAATCTAAGGTTTCCTATTAAGTAGATCACCCATAGGAACTATCTTCTGTTTACATACGTGAACATTGGCGTCCATTGTAGGACTGCAGTAAAACTTGCCAATTACCTAGCTCCACGTTTTTTACTTACATACCACCATGGCACCATGCAGGCATACCCAAACTTCTTCTGGTTATGTTCTTAACGATGACTCAAACTCACAACTAGCCCCACTTATGGAGGTTGAACGTGAGCTTCAAGAGCGAAATGTGGAGCAAAAAATGATGAACGAGGAGCACCGATGTCAATGGGATGAAGCTAAGGTTTGGGAGGCCGAGCTCAAGCAACGACATGAGGAGCATGAACATAGGGACTAAATCGCGACAAGAAAAAGATAGATGAGACAATGGATCAAACTCTTCTGAAATAATGTCAGGTTTACAACGGATTTATATACACTGTTGTAATAGGTTAAAAATTTTGCGCCAAGTGTGTAGCTGGATTTATAAACAGTAATTTAATGACGGTTGTCTTAAAAAGCCGTGGTAATAAACGATGTGTAGCAAGCTTCGATTCTCAACAACTACATTTTCCATTTTTTTCCATTATTTAAAAAATAAATTGTAAATGATTTTACAACGAAGAAGTAAACCAAACCGTTGTTAGAGGGTATTAAGCTTGTGTCACTTACGTCCATTATTTAAAAAATAAATTATAAATGATTTTACAATGGTGAAGTAAACTAACCGTTGTTAGAGGACTTACAATTCCACTACGGTTGGGTTGTCCAACCGCGATTAAAGGGTTTACTGGTAAATTAAAACAAAACTCATTATGTATTTCTTTCATATGACGCCCAAGAAGAACAAGCGAGCCAGAGACGACAACGGTGGCGTAATCTTTACCCTCTTCGTATCCATTCATTTGGAGCTCAAATCTCCACCCTTTTCGCTCATTTGATTCTTCAGCTTCGAAGTACGGTACTCTTCAACATCTTCATTTCCTACGTGGATAAGATTCTTCAGCTTCGAAGTACAGTATTCTTCAGCATCTTCATTCCTTTTTTCTTTGTTTATGTTGTATATGCTCAAGTCAGTATGAGAGTACATGTTTCATATGCTTTAGGTTTATATTTGCATATGCATATGCTTAAGTTTTTGGATTAGATTTTGGTGTGTTATTCACATTATTATACTTCTATAAATTTTAGAAGTTATTATGAATCGTAGTTGGATGAAAGCCGATAGGTTAGGTCTGGCTTATGAGAACGGAGTTATTGAATTCCTTGAATACTATGATAAACATCTTCTCGACAATAATGGTATCTTTTATTGTCTTTGTTTTGTTTGCGTGGATATCAAAAAGGGTACAAAGAAAGAAATATTCCATCACCTTTGTTCTGATGATATATGTCAAAATTAAATAATATGAACGTGGCATGGTGAGATGGATAAAGAAGAAAGTCGGGCGTCACAAAGTCAAAAAGTGGATGAAGATGAATATATGGAAGATCAACTAGAGGATATGTTCCATGATATTGGGGAATCTTCTTTTAAGAGTTATCATATTTATGATACTTTATGTAGTGATAAAGACACCCTTTTATATAAGGGATGCATAAATTTTACATGATTCTCGGAGGTGTTAAAGTTGTTTAATCTGAAGGAAAAAATGGATGGTCGGATAAAAGTTTCACGGAATTACTTGAATTGCTAAAGAAAATTTTATCAGAAGATAACAAATTTTCGGATCCTTGTTATGAGGCAAAAAAGATATTATGTCCAATGAGTCTGTAGTATATCCAAATGCATGCTTGTCCTAATGATTGCATATTATACCGGAAAGAGTATGAAGACTTGTATCAATGTCCGAAATGTGGTGTGTCGCGTTACAAGCTGAAGGCCAACAATGGTGATGACAATGACTATGACAATGTTAGTAGGAAGCATCCTCCTGCTAAAGTGTTATGGTACTTTCCAATAATTTCACAATTTAGGAGACTTTTTGCTAATTCGAATGACGCAAAGAATCTTAGATGACATGTAGATGAAAGGACCCGTGATGGAAACATTTGTCATATAGCTGATTCGTTGCAATGGAAGAAAATTGATTCGTTGTTTCCATATTTTGGAGTTGAGCCAAGAAAACTTAGGCTTGGACTTTCCACCGATGGAATAAACCCCTTTGGTAATCTGAGCACTAATCATACTCTGTGGCATGTTTTTCTCACTATTTACAACCTATCTCTTTGGTTGTACATGAAGCGCAAGTATATACTATTAAGTATGATAATTTCTAGACCACAAAAACTTGGTAACAACATAGATGTTTATCTAAGTATATTAATTGATGATTTATGACTCTTGTGGGATGAAGGCGTTGAAGTTGGTGATGCATATTCTGGGGGAAAGTTTAAGATGCGTGCAATATTATTTTGCACAATCAACGACTTTCCTGCTTACGGTAACTTGGCTGGATATAGTGTCAAAGAACATAAACTGTGTCCTATATATGAAGATGATACTTGTTATCATCAACTCGAGTTTGGAAAA